AAAAATATTATTTGATGTATACATGCAGTCCCTAATTGAAGTCATTGTGGCATCAAGGTGTGGAAACATATGATGTATTAACTAAACAAAATTTCAGACTCTGTGTTGCTTTGATGTGGATTATAAATGATTTTCCTACTTATGGAATGAGTCCGGGTGGTCAACTATCGAAAAGTTAGCTTACCCGACTTGTATGAGATACACAAAGACATTCACTTTGAAACATGGAGGCAAGAACACATGGTTTGACTGCCATTACTGCTTATTGCCAATGGATTATGAGTTTAGGAGAAATACTAGTGCATTTATGAAGAACAAAACTGACTATGTGGATCCACTGCATGTCTTGTCGCCTGAAGAGATTTGGAATAGAGTTATGAATCTACATAAGGTAACAGAGTATACATTGCCTAATAAGATAAATGCACTAGTATTTATTATCTTGCCCAATAAGATAAATACTAGTGCATTTATGAAGAACAAAACTGACTATGAGGATCCACCGCATGTCTTGTCGCCTGAAGAGATTTGGAATAGAGGTATGAATCTACATAAGGTAACAGAGTATACATTGCCTAATAAGATACTGGGGTATGGCGTAACACACACCTACACAATCTTCTTTGGCATAATCTTGATGTCATGCATATCAAGAAGAAATGTTTTGATAACTTATTTAATACTGTGATGAATGTAAGCAACAAGACAAAAGATAATTTAAAGGCCAGGATGGATTTGGATGAAAGAAGAGAGATTTGTGATTGGGTTAATAATTTAAGGATGTTTGATGGGTATGCATAAAACTTATCTAGGTATGTTGACATGAAAGAAGGGAAGTTGACATCTATGAAAAGCCACGATTGTCACATTTTCATGGAATCTTTGATATTTATTGCATTCAATGCTTTGCCTGATAGAATATGAAAGCCCATCACAGAGATATGCTAATTTTTCAAGTAGTTGTGCTCTAGTACATTGAGGGCGGAGAACCTAGCTTACATGGACAATAACATTCGCTTAACTTTAAACAAGTTGGCAAAAAAATTTCCGCTTGATTTTTTCGATGTCGTGGAACATCTTCCAATTCACCTTGCGTAAGAGGCATGACTATGAGGGCCAGTTCAATGTAGATGGATGTATCCATTCGAGAGGTAATTATCTTTACATGTTTTAGTTAAACATTATTTCATCTTAAAATCGTGCTATGCAGGATGATTGACAAATGTTAGCGGACCGTGAAAATAGATCAAGGATTGAGGGATCGATATGTGAGGGATATGTAGCTAGAGACCTGATCGGCATGATGATGGTGGCTATACCGATACTTTGGCACCACCCTTTTCCATATTCAATCAACCTAGAAAAGGCGGTCCAAAACTTAGTCCAACACGATTTTTGACAGAGATGAAGCTAAAGTCAACTACAATACATATTCTACTAAATTGTCCCGAGGTCCAACCTTATTATACGTAAGAGTATATTTATATTACCGACTTATATTTAATTTTAATTATCAATTATTTTAACTAATGAAAGTTTCACATCTGTTAGACAGTTGGTTTGTGGGTACATATAGGCATGCACATGTTTATCCTAAGTTTACAGAATGGTTTAAACACTTTGTAAGTATTGGCAAAGTTTTTTTTTAATGCGAATTATTATCAGTTGTACGTACTTTTTAATTTCTAATTAACTATTATATATTGGGTTCGAACTAAGTTCATAATCCAGATAATGGTGTAAATGATCCATTTTTTGCGTGACATTGCTTGGGGATCTAGCCCTAATGATGTTTAAGTACTCCGTCAATGGGTACAAGTTTCATACAAAAGAATGGTCCAAGGGCAAAAAAACTAATAACAGTGGCGTGTGTGTGAAAACTGATGGTGATGTTGATTATTATGGTGTGGTTCAACAGATATTAGAACTCGAGTATAGTATTGCTTGGCCGAAGAAAAAGTTGGTACTCTTTCAGTGTAAATGGTATGATCCAACACCTACTAGAGGTACAAAGGTGCTCCTCTGTATAAAATTGTTGAAATAAAGCACACGTGGAGGTATAGACTCTATGACCCAATTATCATAGCACAAAATGTGAAATAGGTGTATTAAGCACCTTATCTTTTGTGCAAGAAGAAGATTGCATGACAGGTATTTATAAAAATAAAGCTCATAGGTAGAGTTGAGGTCGAGGATGCATTGGATATAGCGTACCAGAATGACATTTGAAGTGTTGAAGCAATGGTAGATGATGAACTATCAGGTGAATTGCAGGATACTGAAGGCCTTTATGAGGAATTCGAGCCTTAAGTCCTTAGATCAAATCAAAGTAATTATGAGGAAGGAACATCCATGGAAAACGAGGATGGAGATTCAAGTGATGAATATGAAGCAAGAGAGGATGAAGAATTATATGATGAAAATCAAAAAAAGCGATGAGGATTGAGTTGTTTGTGTGTTTTATGACTTGTTTGATTTCTTATGTTATTGTATTTATTTTTATATCTTGTTGGACTTTATATATGTTCTTTTTTTAATTGTTATAATATGTAAAAGAATTGCTTTTTATTATTACCTGTTGATATTTTAAGTATCATATTTTATTTTACTTAAATTGCACAGATGGCTTCTAAGGGTAAAGAACCGAAATAATCTAACAAGAAAAAAAAATACTTTGCCATCCACGAGTGATCACATTCCTTCACGCATACCTAGGATGAGTCCTCCTCCTAGTTTTGCTCGTCCTTCTCAGTCGACGACTACATTACTACCTGAGTTTTTCAGAGTCCTCTCCCCCTCCGGCTAGCACAAAACAATATTATTTCATGCCAACCCAGGGTGGTTCAGCCTCCACTACTATTAATTTTATGCGCATGTCTAATTTGTCATCTTTGAGTCATCGTGTCCCTGCTAGTCAGCAAGATGGCTCACCATTGATTTCATCCCAGGGTGGACATTACAGTCAGCATGATGGTTCATATTTTGTGCCTCCATCATCTTCTACTCCATTATCATCTACTCATAGTATTTCTAGACTGGATATTAGAGGATCTCAGGAGGTTGCATCCTCATCTACTAGTACTGCTCCAGTTGCTCCTTCACGAAGACAGTATGCTGGTGGAACTGTAGAGTACGATCATATGCATCGATCGATTATCATACCCCATGGGGACAGGTAAGTAATTCTTTAATTTTTAATTATTAGAATAAAGATATACATATATCTAACGAATGTTTATTTTACATATAATGCATGTTTTTCCCATCCTTTTAGCCCACACATATGGATAATTTACAATATTACCTATTTTATCTTTATCATTTTCTAACATTTTGGATTTATAATAGTTAAAGTTGGTTTTTCAATAATAATAATTATGGGTGTTATAATAAAATTATCTTGTTATTTATTATTTTTTAAGGGTCATGCCAAGTAAATAGTGGACACGTAAACTTGGACGGAGAGAATACCACACTTCTTTTAATTCTATTTTACATTATTTAAGAGCGTATACAACATAATTAATCAAATAAATATTTTTGGTAAGATTAAACCTCGTTTCTGGCTTTTGTCAGATTTAAGAACGGCCACTATTCTTATAGCCTGTTTGGTCAAGCTTCTCAAGAGGCCAAAAGTATTTTTTTTTCTCAAAAATACTTTTTTTCCCTAACTTGAGGTGTTTGACCAAGTTTTTTTGGGAAAAAAAATACTTTTGGGAGGAAGCAGAAGCAGTTTTTGAGAAGCAGAAAAAAATAGCTTCTTCCCAAAAGCAGAAGAAGAAGAAGAAGCAGTTTTGACTTTTCTTCTTATTAAAAATACCCTTAACAAAATATAGTATATACTAAATAACCGTTAAACCTAATACTTAGAATATTAATGTATAAATATTTCTTATTATTTTTAGGATAGCTTTCTAATATATAATGACTTTAGGGGTGAATGCTTTTATATTTGTTGAATGATTTTTAATATATTTAACTTATATTAAAAGAATTAAGTACTTTTAAGTTTTATTTTTATATTTTACTTAAATAAAATTAAAAGATTTAATTATTGTATGTAATAACAAATTTTTAAGATTATTTATTTACTTATAATATTAACTATTAAGTAAATCTATTCATGTCCTTATTCGTAATTTGATACTTAAAAGCACTTTCTGAAAAGTTTGGCCAAACACAAATTATTGCTCAAAAGTGCATTTGAGAGTGGCTGGCCAAATACAAACTGATTCTCCTCAAAAGTACTTTTTTTCAAAAGCACTTTTGAAAAAAAAAATTCTCAAAATAAGCTGATTTCTCTAGATTGGCCAAACATGCTATTAGTTAACATTATAGCCAGTTTGATCAATTTTTTTTTGGGCCAAAAGTGCTTTTGGCAAAAAATTGAGGTGTTTGGCCAAACTTTTAGAAGGGAAAAAAGTATTTTTGAGGAAAAACAAAAATAGTTTTTGATAAGCAGAAAAAATGTAGTTTCTCTTCAAAAGCACTTTTCTGAGAAGCTCTTTTGAGAAAAATACACTTAAAAATAGTTTTCAAAAGCTTGGCCAAACACTAATTACTGTTCAAAAGTGTTTTTCAAACACAAATCAATTCTCACCAAAAATACTTTTTTAAAAAACAATTTGAAAAAAAATAGACTATAACTAACGAAAGAATTGTTTCAACAAAAGCTTCATAATTATAAGCATTTAACATAAAAGGGTCTGACTTGCTAACTCAAATTCTGGTATGTGGGGGCCGGACATTGCCATACTGCCTGCACTAATAATGCTAGTTGAAGAAACAAAACAACACAGTACTACAAAAAAACCAAAATACTTAAGTGAACCATTTAAAATCTCACCAATTTAGTTGAAACTTATGACAATAGTCACAATACAACAACGTCAAATGTAGCAAAATATAGTAAAAGTGAGAGTAGAACAAGTTTTATCCCATAAACAAGTCAGCAGTGGGACAAGAGACGGTGACACTTCTCTCAACTCGACTCACATAAGAACCGTGTGAGTGGTTGACAGTTGACACTGACCTTCTTTCTCTCTTACGCTCCGTCTAACCAAAGCAACCCGCGAAACTTTATCTCCTCTGTCCCCTTCAATACCCGACCCGACCCGTATATCATTCACAGTTCGCTTTCTTCAGATCCAGATACCGACACCACTTCCCTTCCTATTCTCTTCTTCCTTTTTAACTCTGTTTTTAGTGCTTTGTCGTTTATCGGCATTTCGCTTCTTCAAATACTCATTGCTATGCAAATGGTGGTTGGTAGGATAGATAATGTAAGTGAAGTATGCTTTGAAAATGATGTTTTACTAGTTTTATACTACTGTTTGTTAGGTATTAGTTTTTAGTTGAAATTTTTCATTTGCATTGTTGTCTTCGGACAGATTCATGAGCTGGTCGGAGTTTGTGTTCTGCTATCTAATGTCAGAAGGTAAGCCTGTTTCTTAATAATGAGCTCACTTTCCTTTTTTTTTTCTCTTTCACGGATCAGTAATTGCTGTTCTCTATCTTTGTGGTTTCTGTTTTGGGATGTTGTTTTACTGCATTGAACGTATGTGTCAACCGATTTTTTTTTTAATTGATCCTTGGGCAACGAGGTAATGAAATTTGTGAAATATATCATACGAGATTATCTTCATCTCTTATATTCAAATGCAACTTTTGCAAGAATTATATATAAATGGTATTTATAGAGGAGAGTATAGAGTTGTACAGTGACTCTGGAAACTACTCTAGAAATGGATCTAATTCACTAATATGAGATTATTTTTACATCCATTCGTTGAGTGCCAATGATTTCAATATCAGATTTGTGAAGTTGACTCTGGGAAGCACTTTCAAATTGCATCTCCTTGTTTCCGTTTCTCCTATGAGTCTGAGCTTTCACTGTGTACGTTGTATTCGTCAAATTGTAATGTTAAAAAAGAACTCTTTTTATGCAGATGTTCTATTGTATCGATGTAGTTAAGACAAGAACCGAGTAACTGCAACATTTTGGATCAATAAGACTGCACCTGAAGGTATTCTGAAAGACAATGGATCACAAATCATGGCCCTGGAAGAAAAAATCCTCAGATAAAAACACGGTTGCTGATGACAAAGCAAATATCTCTTCGAGAAGACATGACGAAGAGGTAACTAAATACATAGTCTTTTTAAATTTTCTTCCCCGTTCATTGCCCAATTTATTAGCTTGTTGGTCAAGTTTGACTCTCACACGTTTCATTTCCCTGGTAACAGAAAATTTAAGAAACTGCCTCTACCTTTGCTTTAACCACTAATTGATTAGAGATATGAGTTAACTAAATGACCAGGGTCCAACTAAAAACCGCAGTAACTTGTTGGGGTTTTGTTGATTCGGGAGTGATGAAGTAGAAGAATATGCGCCTTATAGATTATGTAAACAATCCTTTCATTTCCAGTATGTGAGAGTTTATACTGACTTCAAGTATACTTTCATCTGAGCTGAGAAAGACAAATGCAATACATAACTGGAAATAATCAGGATCTTTGGATAATTGGAAGTTGGAACTAGTCATACAGAAGCCCACTTAATAGTAATTTTTTAAGGAGATTAAAATCTCGAGCTCTTACTTTCTTGACAGTTGAAAATATTGTGTTTTCTCATCAATAAAAGACAAAAATATTTCTCACCACTTTCAGAGGCATCCTTCCCGCCAGTGAAACCCTTTTCCACCCGGAGAAAGAATTATAAGTTCATAATACCTTTTCCACCTGGAGAAAGAATTATAAGTTCATAAAATAAAGAGGGGGGCGGGAGGGGGAGGTGGGGTTCAAACTGGCTCGATAACCTTCTGCACTTCCCCCGTGACAAGTAGGGATGACAATGGGGCGGTGCGGGTTTAGACATATGCGGGGCGGTGCGGGTTTATACATATGCGGGTGGGGGCGGGGANGCAATGAGGTCACTTGACGAATAAGTATAATACAAATCTCTACATTAACTATATGAAAACAGAGACTAAAAACTTGAACAATAACAGAAAATGAGAAAATTACTCGCTAATTCTATTGAAATAAATTAAGATGGTAAAATATTTATTCTGACTATGCCTGTGTACATGCTGATCCCGCTTTCATTGATCGCAAAAATAAAATAAGACAAATTGAAAAGGAAAAAAAAGTTGCGGGGCGGGGCGTGGCGGGTTGACGCTGGTGTGGTGCGGGGCGGGTGGATGCGGGTTAAAAGAGCTATGCGGGGCGGGTTGAAATTTTGCGGGTTAAGAGAGAACCCGCCCCGCTTTCCATCCCTACTACTGACAAGAAACTCAAACCTAATTAGATGGGGATGTATCTGCTGTTCGAAGCAGATGAAATGATGATCCTGCTTGAACTTGATGAAATCTTCTATGCTTACATGTGCTTCAGCTTTTTGGTTGATGATAATCTTATGTGCTCTGAACCAGCTTTTGTATTCTTCTTCTTGTTGCAGACGGTATTGAGTGATAAAGCTGAACTAGAAAGAGAGCTGGAGGTTGTGAATGCCAAGCTTTCCTCTGCTCAGGTGGAATGTCGTGCTAAAGATGATTTTGCACAGAAACAGATGAAAATTGCACAGGAAGCAATTGCAGGTAACCCTAGCTAATTTACCATCATATTTACGTATTCATGTGTTTAGCTTCTTTTTGTATTGTTTTACGTTCTATCCTCCCTGGAAATCACAGAAACGTAGTTTTTTCCCCCCAAAACAGTCGCTTACAAGTGGTATATGTAGGCTGGGAGAAGACTGAAACAGAAGCAAGATTGCTAAAGCAAGAACTAGAAAAAGCTCTACTGCATAGCGCAGCGGGTGAAGAGAGATTAGTTAACTTGGATGCAGCACTCAAGGAATGTATGCAGCAGTTGCGTTTTGTTAGAGATGAGCAGGATAACAGGATTCACGATGCAGTATTGAAGGCATCGAAAGAGTTCGAAAAAACAAGGACTCTCTTAGAGAGAAAATTAGCTGATGCAGGGCAAAAGCTTTCCCGATTAGGTTCCGAGAACACTCAGCTTAGTATGGCTCTCATCGCAAAGGAAAAGGCAACGGGTCATTTAAAAGGACGATTAGCTCAGGCAGAAGCAGATTTCAGTGCCTTGAAAACACGACTGGAATCTGCTGGAAAAGAGAATGCTTCTCTGCGATATGAGGTTCGGGTCCTTGAGAAGGAGCTTGAGATCCGGAATGAAGAGAGAGAATTTAATCGCCGAACAGCTGATGTTTCACACAAGCAACATCTGGAGAGTGTGAAGAAAATTGCAAAACTGGACTCAGAATGTCAAAAGCTACGCATCCTTGTTAGAAAGAGACTGCCAGGCCCTGCCGCCTTGGCCAAAATGAAGAATGAAGTTGAAATGTTGGGGAAGGATCATGCTAAAATGAGGAGAAGGAAGTCAAATCCGTCTCCAAATAGTTCAGTAGACTTAACTTCGGAGACGGCTCCTGATACTCCAAACAGGAAGATTAACTTCCTCGCTGAGCATTTATGCATGTTGGATGAGGAAAATCGGACTCTGAAAGAAGCGCTATACAAAAGAACTAATGAACTCAAACTATCTAGGATGACAAATGCTCGAACAACTGCTGAACCAGAAAAATATCTTCCCTCTGCGCAGGAACTGTCTGTGACATCGCTGTCTGATATGGGCAGCGATGACATAGGTGGCTGTTCCGAGTCGTGGGCTTCTGCCCTAATGTCAGAGCTGGAGCATTTCAAAAATGAGAAACAAATAGGTCCGCCATCATCTATAAGTGTAGGAGCTTCAGATATAAATCTGATGGATGACTTTGCGGAGATGGAAAATTAGCAGTTGAGTCTACAGATAACCCTCTGGGAGCTCTTCATCATGCCTTACCGAGGGAAAATGGAGATGGGGGTGCTTTGGAGTTTCAGTTATGTTCTCATTCATCAGAAGGAGATAGTAGAGAGAGAGTTCCTGTAACAAATCGTTATGTCTCCAGCAATGATATCCAGTTAAAAGGAACATTGACAAATAAAGCTACTAGTGGAGTTGATAACATACTGAAAATGCTTTTGGAGCATGGCCATGTAACACAAAGAAACCCATATGAAATACTGGCAGATCTTAAAACTGCTCTGGCACAAAAGTGTCCCTCAACTAAGAACCCTGTGGAAGCAAATGAAAGCTCAATAGATACTGATGTTACATGTACCCCCAACATTGGTGAGTGTATATCGCAGGGTATACATCATGACTCATTAATATGGCAGTCATCAAATACAGGAACTGGTGAGAATGTCCCATTGGCAAAACAGTGTGAACCAAACATGTTGTCATACATGGGTACATCGATCAATAAGGTGATTGATATCGTAGAAGGGATCAATATACCCTCGTCAGATGACAATATTCCAGACATCTTATCTTGCAAGGGTAATGGGCTTCTACCATATGAAAGTGCACCGAAGGAGACAGCCTATATGGTTCGTGTTTTCCAGTGGAAAACTTCAGAACTATCTGCTATTCTTCAAGAATTTGTTCAAACTTGCCGTGATTTATTGAATGGAAAGGTTCACATAGAGAAGTTTACTGAAAGATTAACCTGGACTCTGGAATGGATT